CATGCACCCTTTCACTGCCCACTGGTGTGACTGCAGGGGGAGGGCTGTGGAAGCTGAACTGCTCCCTTTTGGAAGACAAAGATAGTCAGTGAGTACAGGGAGAAGTTAAGCCAATGGCAGACCCTCCAGTACTTCTACGACTCACGTGCACAGTGGTGGGAGATGGTAAAAGAACGGACGAGACAGTTTTTTAGAAAGATAGGAAAAATCAAAAAGAATAGATTAAATCGACGCATGATGGGGCTGCAAGAACGACTACAGAGATATTTTAACCCTTTAAACGATGGGATCGATTTTAGTGAAGAAATCAAAGAAATAAAGCAAGAAATGTCAGTTTTATCCGAAATTCAAAGCAAAGGTGTCATTTTAAGGAGCAGGGAGAAGGAGATTGGGGAAGGTGAAAGGTGTACCAGGTATTTCTTTAAAAATATTATTTCATGGGGTGAGGCAATCACAGCTTTGAAAAGTGGAGGGAGGGAGGTTTACACCACTAAAGAAATTTTAAAGGAAACTGAAGTATTTTATGAAAACCTATACAGCACCAAAGAAGTCCACAATGACACGGTACAGGAAGTTTTAGAGTTTTTAGAAAAGAAAGGCGAAGGTACAATTTTATCTCAAGATTTCAACATTTTAGAAATTCACAAAGCACTTAAAAGTTTTAAACGAGGAAAGTCCCCCGGCACCGATGGACTTCCTCTGGAGTTTTATTTTACTTTTTGGGATATTTTAGCTTTTGACTTACTGACTGTTTTTAAAGAATTTGAGACTCTTGAAAGACTTTCTGACAGCTTTAGAATAGGGATAGTTTCACTTTTACATAAGAAAGGGGACAAGACTGACTTACGGAACTGGCGACCCATCACTCTTTTAAATGTCGACTGTAAACTTTTTAGCAAAATTTTAGCCACACGCATGTCGACAGTTTTAAGTCAAGTCAAGTCAAGTCACATTTATTTATATAGCGCTTTTCACAATACAGATTGTATCAAAGCAGCTTCACAGTGATAACATGAAAGTAGCACAACACAGATCAACAACATTGCTAAACACTAAATAACCCCAACTGAGCAAGCTCAAAGCAAGCCAAAAGCAAGGCGACAGTTTTAGAGGACGTAATCCACCCGGATCAAGCATGCGCTGTGCCAGGAAGGAAGATCACGGACAGCCTGGTGCTGATCAGAGACGCCATCTGTTATGCGACAGAAACCTTTGGCTTGTAGTCCTAAATTTAGACTTTGAAAAAGAATTCGACCGTATCTCGCACCAGTTCCTTTTTAAGGTACTGGGTAAAATGGGGTTTTCAGGGCGGTTCATAGCCTGGGTGGGACTGCTGTACAACAGTCTGGTCAGCAGAATTGTAGTTAACGGGCATTTATCCAAAGCTGTTAATATCTACAGTGGCGTCCGTCAGGGGTGTCCCTTATCTCCCCTTCTGTATGTGGCTTGTATAGAGCCACTGGCACAAATCTTGAGAAGGGACAAATGGATTAAAGGACTAGGCATTCCAGGGACTAGTGGACTGACGGCAACCTGCGTTTTATACATGGACGACGTGACCCTTTTAGCAACGGACGTTTTATCGGTACGAAGAGCAATGGACTTGACTGACTGGTACGGTCGGGCCTCAGGCGCCAAGCTTAACAGAAGTAAGTTCGAGGCCCTGCTTTTCGGGCCGTGGGGGAACATTGACACAGGTGGAATAGATTTGGATTTTAAAGATAATAATTTGAAAACTTTAGGTGTAAAATTTGACAAGGAGGGTGGAGGACAGGGTAACTGGACTGACTTGTTAGGGAAAGTTAGGCAAAGACTGGGCTTTTGGGGACTAAGAAATCTGACGTTTGAAGGCAAGATTTTAATTTTTAAAGCTGCTATTTTACCACTGATTTTACTTGTTCTGTTTTTAGTCCCCCACGAAGTTTCCTGATCGACCTGGAGAGGGCAGTGTTTTATTTCCTGTGGGGGTCCAAGTGGGAGCGATTCAAAAGAGAAGCAGTGAAGAAAAAAAGAGAGAATGGCGGAAAAGGGCTCCCAGACCCCCACCTGTTTTTAGGCAGCCGCTTCACTGCCCTCCACATTAAATACGCCCTGACCCCATCCAGAGAACACAAGACAGCAGCCATGACCCGATTCTGGATGGGGTCGTACTTAAGATCTTTGAAACTTTTACCCGTTGATCTTAAATGTCCAGTATTCCCGTGACCATGGGCTGAGCCCGTACACAGGTGTACCGAGTTGGGTGCAATTGTCTCATTCCGTTGGAGAGTTATAACCATTTAAGTAAAGCCCGCCTCACCCACCCCCAACGTTTTGGCGTACCGTCGCCAACGTGGATGGAAATTCCGACTGTTTCCCGTTCCCTATGGCATGCATCTTGTTCGGCTCGAGCCAAGGATTCCGGCGATGTAAGACACTTGGGTCTGCGAACGACGGTCGAGGAGTTACGAGCCATTTCGTACTTTTGATCGCTGCAGCGCCACCTTGGAGCCGATCGGGGCGAGCCTTGGTGATGATGTAGTACCGGGCCGGTCCTACCATCCCTCAGAGTTTCCAGTGTTTACGAAGGACGCTTTGGTCTGCCCGCTCACTTTTAGGGCGGAATGTTGATGATCCAAAATCCCAGGTTGCACTCCAGAGTGTCGTGCTGTGCACTCTGTTGTGATCCATTTTCGGTGTCAACCAATCTGAGCTGAGCTTGTTTGAGCTTGCCAGCTCTCCCGCCTCGGCGTCGTTGCGTCATCGCTTCTCTGCCTTTTGGCTAAGATCAAGTGTACGCCAAATGGATGCACCGAGAGAGGATATGCCGATGCCGACCATGATGGTGCGGTTGAGAAACACGGTCAGGATACAAGATAAAGCGGATACGGATATGGAAGTAAAGAGAAGATTTGGATGGGACTTTGTGGTAACCGAGCTCTTAAGGGAAGTCTTTGGAATTTCAGCCTCACTGGTCTTTTGCCAGAAAGACTTTTTGTCCTCTGGTTTTATGGGCTTGACCTTTTTCCAGTTAAGGGATTGTGTTGCATATTTTGAAGCTTGGGAAAAGAAGAAAGACCATCAGTGTTTGAGAGGCCTGCAAATAATTCCAGCCGTTGCTCAGGACTTTTAACCATTGACAATCCACTTATACAACCCTTTTGTGGAAGACAGTGATGTGCTTTCTTTTTTGCCTAGATACTGTGATACGGTCAAAGGAGGTGAGCGTTTGAAAGACCGCTTTGGAATCTGGACTGGCAAGCGGAGGTATATGGTGAAACTGTGAGTAGACCCAGCAGCACAGGGAGGCCTTGTGCACCCTCCAGGATCCTTTTTCATCGGGTCGAATAGAGGCTTTCTGCACTACCCAGGGCAGCCCCTGTATTGCAGAAGGTGTGGCACTCAAGGCTATGTGAAGGCGGACTGAGAAGGCGGACTGTGTAGGCCAACGGTGTCGCACCAGGGCAGAGTGGAGAAGACACTGAGACAAGTAGCCAGGAGGGTTCACCAGTCCCATCTCCCCTAAAAAACCCTGTTGTTGTGATTTCCCTGTTGCGTTCTAAAAGGAAAACATTGAAACCACGCCGCATTTCACCCACAAGGGTCGAAAAGGTGAGAAAAAGTCAAGCATTTTTGCTCCCCCTTTCCCCCCCCCAGTTTGACCAGTGTTTCATTTATTTTTTGCATTTTTTCTTAAAACTTTTTTGTTCTTTATTTTTGTTATATACTTTATATAATAATTTTATTAGTGTGTTTTATTAGTGTTATTAATAATAAAAGTAATTATTGTGTGTGTGTGTGTGTGTGTGTGTGATTTGGCTTTGTAATAAAACTTGTTTGCTGTGTTAAAAAATCATGCACCATGTATTTTCTTTGGATGGGTGAAGAGGGTGAAGGTGATGCACCAGGGCAGAGTGGAGAAGGCACTGAGACAAGACGCCAGGAGGGTTCACCAGTCCCATCTCCAAAAAAAAAAAAGTTGAGATTTCCCCGTTGCAGTCCATTAGAAAAAAATTAAGACCACATCCACGCCGCATTTCACCCATTCTTGTTAAGAAAGTTAAAAAAATGGCCCAGCAGAAAAATCTCAACGAGAAGGTGAGGAGGGCCATTAGAAAGTGACGTGGGAAAAAGTAAATAATTTTTGCTCCCCCTTTCCCTCCCCTAGATTGACAAGTTTTTTATTTAATTTTGCATTTGGCTTTGTAATAAAACTTGTTTGCTGTGTTAAAATTTTGTCTGTCATTTTTTTCCTTTTATTGTGCATCACAGTCACTTATATAGTTCTTTGACATTAATCTCAGGTAATTTATGTGGTGAGGTAACCCAAGTAAGCTTATCTGACAAAAATGTATGATCTAAGTTTGACCTTGTAACAACTTATAATAACTGTACATTATCCATCATTAGTTAGGCATTAGTAAACACTTCATTCATAAATCATTCATAAATCATTAATATACACTACATGCCAAAATGTTGGACACATTACTATTTTAAATGTTTCTGAAAGAAGTTTCTTCTGCTCATCAAGCCTGCATCTATTTGATCAAGGATACAGAAAAAAAGTAATATATTCTTCTTTACTGTCACTTTTTATTAATTTAACACATCCTTGCTGAATAAAAAGTATTGATTTATTTAAAAAAAAAAAAAAAAAAAAACTGACCCCAAATTACTCACCAGTAGTGTATATTGTTACAAAAGATTTCGATTTTGTAAACATTTGCTTCTTCTTTTTTTATTCATCAAAGTATCCTAAAAAAGTATCACAGGTTTGAAAAAATGTTAAACAGCAGAACTGTTTACAACTTTGATAATGAATCATCATATTAGAATGATTACTAAAGGATCATGTAATAGACTGGAGTAATGATCCTGAAAATTCGAGAAGCCTCTCGCTGCATCCTGTGGTGGACATCCAATTTCATGTTGTTATTTGGATTAAGGGTAAATATATTATTTTAGTGTTTATGTGTGACGTTACATCCTGTAAATCTTATTCTGCTTGAAAAAGAATATGAGATATATTATTGTACATTTATATTTACTTTTTCCATAGGCAATCATAAATGCCCTGGCTGTCTCCTGGCTGGGATATCTCCTCACAGGAGGCTGAGCAGGTCTTCCTTTCTGGTCTGGATTATCATTGCAGGTCAGAGTAGATTATTCATTATTTTTGCACAATGCCCAGTGCACCCTTTTGTTACTGATAATTCTGTTACAGTAACACAACTGTGACTGTTCTCTGATAACTATTTCAGTGAAGTGGAAGATTTTAACTGACAAATTGACAAACAATTGAGGAAAGAAAGGAGACCATTCAATTGTTGGCTTTTACTTTTACATTTACACATTTGGAGTTTGGAATTACGTCAGTAACATGAATATTCAATTTGACAACTCCAACATTTCATAACTGTTTAGTGTTAAATCAGAAATATATATTTCATTTGAACGTGTTAAACTCATTTGTATTTCTCTCTCTCTCTCAGAGTTGAAGCCATTCCTGCAGCAACTGGTGGAAAACGGGGGATCTTTTTGGTGCTTTTGTTCTAGCATAAATAATTTTGTTCTTTCGTATAATATAAATAAATACATATGTATATATAAATAAATTCATGCTTGAATCATTCTCGAGTTTTGCCTTCTGATATTCTGGCCATATCATTTAGTGACTGCATGTACTGATTCCATCGTTATTTTATCTGATAATGAGCAAATTAGTTAAACTTAAGTAGGTTAATCAATATACAGCATAATTCAAGAAACTAGGGCTCACAACACTTTTCAGTTGAATAAGATTGATATACATTTTTAATTTGTTTTGTATAAATTTACATTTTTGTAAATGTCTCTGATGCATTTTGAATAAAAAAACACATTTTATAAAAATACTCCTGAGATTAAATGTCTTTCGAACTATGTACGTACAAACTAAAACAAGGGTCCTGTAACCGGGGTCTAAACATGCAGCCTCCGATTGTGTAGGGCTCTGAACAACTGACATTGGTTATTTTAACAAAAAGTTATCACACTTGCATAAATGGGTCATTTTTTAACCATATGTGTAAACTTGATGTATTAACACAAAATATTACATTAAAAAAATCATTTGTGACCAAGATATTTTGAACTATGATGATATTTTGATATGTTAAACTCATAAAACCTGTACAGAAGAGGAAGCGATAGATTAACTGTTTTTTATGTATTAGAATATTGTGCAAAAGTTCATTTATTTCGGTAATTCAACATAGCTATATGCTGTAATCATCAAATTTATAACACAATAAAGGCATGAAATATCTCACTTTGCTTTTAATGACTAATGAGTATATTATATATTAGTATATGATTTAAGGTTTACATGTTTACATGATCAAAGTAATTTGCTATAACAGGCATTAACAGGTGAATTCTTAATTTGTAAAAATGCAATATTTCTATAACCACATAGAAAGAAATGTTTAAAAAAAAATTTTTTTAATTATTTTTTAGAAGGGATAACTATAAGTGCAGTTTGTATCCCATATAATTAAGAAAGAGATAAAAACTCATTTTAGTTTAAGTATAGATGCTCCCTTATATGTTTATTATAGCAAAACCATGATTATTGATTACTATTTGTAACAGAAATACAAGAGAAATACAAAAATATCGTTTTAAGGTACATTGTTTACTTGTCATTAACTTACAAAACCAGTGAGCAATGCAAAGGTATTGTCTAATACAGCTGTTAAGGGAGTGCTTGTGTTTTAGACGATTCCAAGCCTGCCAAAGCATCACAATTTAACTCCACCAATAATCTGTAGTGCCACATCTCTACACAAATAACCTCATCTTTATTATAAATCAATAACTATGATAACAACCATAAACATATTCCGACAGGAAGCAGCGGCATTTTGCGCATGTGTACACGAATCACATCAAATTGAGTCACGTGCCGTCTTTGAACATGGGCGAGGCTTCCGACGTCACACATGGATGGGCGTGGCTTCTGACGTCACACGTGGATGTGGGCCGGGTTGGATATCCACCGCAGGATGCAGTGAGCTGTAGTTGGAAAATTCAGGTTTGCATCACAGAAATAAATGATAATTTATTAAGTATAATAAATTAAAAACTGTGTCCAAACGTTTGGCCTGTACTGTACATTAATGGGTGATTATCCAACTTGGAGCACTTTTGGCATGTGAACTTATGGAAAATTCACTCTCTTAAAACTAAAAACTAGAGCCAGACCGATAAGGGATTTTGAAGGCCGATACCGATTTTAAAAATCGATACGCCGATATATATTTTTTTTAGAAACACGCAACAAAGCATTAACAAATTTCGGAAGCATTAGTTATTTATAGTTAATTATGAGTTTTAACTAAAACAATATGATAATGCATTGCAAGAAACTTGTTTCTTTTATTGTCACACTCACAACAGAACATAGGAACATCAAAATATATTAAAGTTCTGATAAATAAAATGTATAAAAATACAAACTTAAGATATGCAACAAAGTCCTTTGAACAAAAACAACAACCAAATCAAAGTTACTAGTATTAAAAGACTTGGTAAGCTTCATAAATATAACTTTGAACTATACTACTTATAAATTGCTAACAATATATATGAGGTAGTGTATGGAATCAGTCAATCCTTAATAGCTCCAGTCCAGCAGAGGCAGGTTGTAGTACAAGAAGCAAAGTTTCTCTGCATTTTCTCCTTTCAAAGAGCTTCGACTATCCTCATAAATATTCCCTATGGTGCTAAACACTCTTTCGCTCGCCACAGAGGAGGGTGGACAGGAGAGGTACTGCCTTGCCAAAGCTGACAGTCTGGTGAAACGGTCGGTGTTGTGTTTTCACCAATCATATGGATTTCCACTCTTTCTGTCAATGACAGGCTCTCTGAAGTACCGTTCCAGCTCTTCGATGATCCCCTCTGGTTCCACTGCCTCACTGGTGGATGGAAGGAGCACAGTGTCATACAGCGAGTCCAAGAGACTGGGTAATTGGTCCTCTGTTCTTGGCCTTTTGGAATCGGTCTCCTCAGATGGAGTTCTGGCGGACTGGTCTCCATAGCCTCTTTTAGCCAGGTTTTCACTTTTACCAGAATTTCTGGTACCAAAGGCCGCTCTTTGTAGCATGGGTCCAGGACACAGGCAAGCACCACCTCTTTAGCATCTTTAACTTTTGCAAACTGTCCAGCATGAATTTTCTTGTGGTTTGAATACCCCTGGTGGTTGGTCCATCTGACTCCAGTAAGCGTTGTAACACTGCTAAACATGGTATGATGCAGGATGTGGATGAGTCCTCTCTGCTGAATTCCAGTGTCACCTCCTCCAGTGGTCCAAGGGTCTCTGCCAGGTTTGAAGCAATGGACCATTCCTCTGCTGACAGACATGAGAAATGTCCATGGTCGCTAGCATACGCAGTGATGGCTCTTTTCTGTTCAATCATCCTCACCAACATGTGCAGTGTCGAGTTCCACCTTGTCTGTACTGCCTGTATGATCGAATGCTGTGGGACACCTAGCTCCTCCTGAATTTTAGATAGGCGTTGCTGTGCCGTAACAGAGTGGTTGAAGTGAGTTGCAATTTTCTTCAGCTTTGCCAGAATGTCCACCACTACTCTCTGGGAATTGAGGCCATCATTGATAGCTAGGTGCAGTATGTGAGCACTGCAGCTCAGGTCTGGCATCTCAATAAGGCGCATGCCTTTCACCATATTTGCCCCACTGTCCTTGAGTACAAGCATTGACCCGCGACTCATCAATTTCCCATTCTTCAAGCATGGACAGAAATGTCTCTCCAATGTACTGTCCTGTGTGGGACTGTGACAAGGATTTCACGTTCAAGACAAGTTGGACCGTTTTCCAATTCTTGTCAATGAAATGAGCAGTCAGGCTCATGAGTGCCTCAGTTAACCCTGACCAACAGTCGGTGGTAAAAGAAATGCTGTTCCCTGCATTTTCAACTGACAGCAGTTTCTTTATTTTGTTTACAACTCTTGTGTAAATCTCATCCATCATCTTTATACAGAAAAATTTAGCTGTCTTTAATTGGTACCTGGGCTCTGCTTTGGCCATAACCCTTTTAAATCCTGCACCCTCAACAACTGCAAAGGGCAGGATGTCAGTGGCTATCATCTCCATCAGAAGTTTGTCCATTTCTTGAGTTCTTGGATCATTTAGAGTCCTTTTGTGTTTTTTTCTAGCATTTGTTTTAGGTTTGGCTGGGTCATACTCAATGATGTGGTTGGAACTTGAGGCTGTGTTTCTTTTTGTGTCTTCTCGTAGATCTCTTTGTGTTTTGATTTAAGGTGTGCCCACAAGTTGGAAGTCTTTTTAAATCTGAGGCTGCCAGATCCCTGGCTCACAGAGGCTGTACAGATGCTGCATGTGACTGTACCTGATGGGCCTTTTGTGAAATGCTCCCATACTTGACTTCGTCCACCACTTGCCATCTGTCAAAATATAAACAAGCCAAATGAGATAAAAAACAACATAACATAAAACATAACATAAACACACAAATAAAATGATTGCTTTTACAGCCAAAACTATTACTACCAGCATTATTATTTTTATTATTATTGACAGTAATAATTACAAAAAATAATGATAACATTATTACTACTGTACTATCATCATCATAAACGTAACAGAAACATACAAATAAAACGATTGCTGCTACAGTCACAACTAATACTACCAGCATTATTATTATTATTGACAGTAGTTATTATTACAAAAAATAATGATGACATTATTACTATCATCATCATAAATGTAACATAAACATACAAATAAAATGATTGCTGCTACAGCCACAAGGTTGAGGAGATTCCCCTCTCTATGTAAAGCACTTTGAGTGCAGAGAAAAGCGCTATATAAATGTAATGAATTATTATTAATTATTACTAACAGCATTATTATTATTATTGACAGTAATAATTACAAAAAATAATGATGACATTATTACTATCATCATCATCATTTACATTATCATTAAACAAGATAAAGGATACTCCTAAAAGTTTGTATGCATGTGTGTAATAGTTAGTCCCTACATTGCCATATAATTACACTGTCAGCTTGCTTATCCCTTTACCTGCACTTTTTTCATTCTTTCCATCAAGCTACATCAAACCATTTCAATCATCAGTTGCTGCCTGCCTTCTAAAACCTACTATTTAGCGATTCTAAATCCATTACGTGACTCGTTAATACTGCGGCTGAACGACAGTCTGTAAAGCACATTTGGCGTCGTTGGATTTCACACACGTGTAAAAGAAAAACTAACTTTTATGCACAAGATACGTTTGATACTTTTTCTCTGTTGAAATGTTCACTCCTCGCAAGTCTAACTTACATTTTACAATGCATGAACTGTAACTAGAGATATGCTAGTTATAAATACAGTAATCATAACTTTTATTTAGGCAGAAAAAGTTCGTTGTATTTTCCAAGCTCATTAATGTTAATGTTAGCGGTCTTCCACTGATGATAGTGGCGCTAGCTTTGTGGTTAGCTTGCTACCCAGATAGCAAACTGATATTGAATCAATGTGGAAATATGACATCGAAACAACGTTGATCTGACATAGTTTTGCTCATCGAATTAACGTTGAACCAACG